TCAGATAGGAAGGTGATTTTGTCTATTGCATCCCCCAAACTCACTGCCAGTGAGTTGATTCAACTCATAGAGACCTCCTCTCTATAGGAGCAGGAGCGGCTGGTGAGTTTGAATCGCTTTCCATGTCATGGTCTCTGCCTCCATCTCTGGCGTCACTGTTTCTCTGGGTAAGATCCTACACTCTGCTCCCTTTGACCTCCTCTCCTGGAGTCCGAAGTCATCCACTCCCCTCCTTTTGTTACAAAACTTCTGCCTTTACATTTCCAGCCTTCACAGTCAGTCCTGATAGCAGTTATTCGCTATTGTACCACAAGAGTCCTGTCCCCATCTCCTTTCATCAGCCCCATCCAGACAGACTGTAATGGACTTTGTTTTTTAAAATTGGAGAACCAAATCTTGATGTGCATATTATGCTGAAGTAGGTTTTTCTTAATTTAATGTATCTTGAACATTTGCCAACTGAGTCTGTGGGAGTCCTTCCTCAGTTCTTACTGTCCCTGTCATGGATTTTTGGTTAGATGTTTAGAGCCGTGCTGCCCAGGACAGTAGCCACTAACTAGTCTCTTGTGACTTTAAGTGACTGAAAATTAAAGTGAAAAGTTTACCACCTTTACAAGTTGCTACATGAGAACGGAGGCTGTTGTATTAGCACAGACAGATTCTTTCATCCTGTCAAACACTGCTGATTTAGAGTAGATTCTCTTTTTATTATGCGATGCAGTAACCTTCTAACTACTGAGTTGTTTCTTTCAGGGTCTTAAGTCTGTTTTATCAATTCTAGTTCTTAAATATTTCTTGAATTGTCCCTAGATCTTCACTTTCAGTAGTACCACTGTAGTCTTTTGCCCGGGCTACTAAAACAACTTCCTAACTGCTTCCAGTCTTGCCTCTGTCCGTTCCATTTTCTGCACTGATGTGACCTCCTGTTGCCTGTAAGATCGGATCCAGACCTATTCAAGGGGTTCTGATGCCATCTAACGGTTTCATTCCTGCCTCGTTCACATCCCCTCTTACTCTCCACCTCAGCTGTATGAACTCTCTTTCAGTGCCTTGTTGTGGAATCTTGTCTTTAGGCCTTTTGCATCTACTGGTTTCTTTGACCAGGCTCTATTCCCAATCCACTGCACTTGCATGGATAAATCCTAGTCTTCCTTTGGGAATCTGAGTTAGTTTAGGCCCTGGTGGCACCATGGATTAAGTAATGGTCTGCTGACCACAAGGTTGGTTGTTCTCTCTTGTGCTCTGAGGGAGAAAGATAAAGCTATTTGCTCTGGTAAAGATTTGCAGCCTTGGAAACCGTAAAGGAGCAGTTCTGCACTCTGCCCTCGAGGGGGAATGCTGTAGCTCTATACCAAGAGCTCCAGCCTGGGAACCATAGATCTGTGGTTTGAGCCTGCTCCCTGGGAAAACAATGAGGCTTCCTACCCCTTAAAGATTTACAACGTTGGAAACCCAACACAGGGTTGCTGTGGGTGGGGTCACTATGAATCAAAATTGACACGTTGGCAGTAGTTGGTCTTTGGGAGAAGATCTCAGAGAGTCTCTGAGTGGTATAAAACACTCAGGTGGGAGGAACCCAAGCACCTGTTCTTAGTCTTCCTGCCCAAGACTGTTTCCATCTCTGTCTCTTCAGTCCACTATTCCAAATTCTCTTGTTCTTAATCCCAACCCACATTACTTCCAAATTCCAGGGATGATGTTGTTAAGTGCTATTGAGTCAGTTTCGACTCATAGTGATCCCGTACAGGGTTTCCAAGAGCAGCTGATAGGTTTGAACCATTGGCCTTTTGACTTGCAGTAATCCAGTGCTGATCCTACAGTGCCACACCAAGAGTCCAAGGAAGGAGAATCTAATTGGCCCAGCATGGTGTCAGGAGTCCACTCATGGATCAGTCAGCTGGCCCAGGCCCAGGGTTCTGTAGGACAGTTGTGACCATTGTTGCTCACACATCATCACTGGCGGAAGTTCTCAGGGAAGAGGAATGGATTGGGCTGTTGTCACAAAAGGAACATACTCATGGTGACCTGTTCTGGGTTTTAGAGAGTGGCTGTTGTTTGAATTGGCAACTGCAAGGTTAACAGTCGAATGCTTAGCCTATAGCATCACACCAGGAGTCAATGTATATATGGTGTGTGTGTGTGCTGGTGTGGTGTGGACATTTGGAAACTGCATTTTTACTTTTTGGCAGGAGCTGAAAGCCTCATCTTTCTCCTGCAGATATTGTGGTGCTGTGGGCTAATGCGCTGGACTGCAAAGTTGGTTTGAACTTCAAGGTTGGTGGTTTAAGCTCACCAGCCATTCCTCAGAAACCCTATATAGGGTCGTTGTGGGTCGGAACCGTCTCCGCAGCACCTAACAACAACCTTGTGATCCAGTGTATGTACGTGTGTTGTTAGGTGCCGTGAAGTTGGTTCGGACTCACTTTTCCTGTGTACAACAGAATGAAATATTGCCTTGTCGTGTGTAGTTTTTTGTTAAGCATGACCCCATTGCTGCTGCCACTGTGGCAGTCCATCTCC